GCTGTTGCAACAGCGCAACACAGCCATTTTCCCCTGAGGCTATCCCCGGTTTGCAAGAGAGCAGCCGCTTGACAACCCCCCCTCTCCAGCTGGGCACAGCACCACTCACCAACCTAGCGGTATCCCGAAGGTGCCAAGCCGGAGGAACTGGGGGGGGGGGAGGATGATTGCACGGCTTGGCACCTTCGGGATACCGCTAGGTTGGTGAGTGGCGCTCTGCCTGGACAGAGGGGGGGGGGTTGTCCAGGGGGCTTATTTTTTGGGGGGGAGAGCTTATATTGTTGCCCGCCAGAAAAATGTGGCATGGCCTTATTATCAGGATATGTCATATTTTCAGGGAAACACAGTAGTTATGGCCTGAGGTCTTCATGCCTAAATATTTCCGGAAGCACAGAGAGGAACCTGTCCCATTGTATATCGAGGGGGGCTGTGTGTAGAGGGTTTCCTCTTTCAAATTCTTGGAAGTGCTTATTAGTCAAGATCTCACCTGGAAAAACAACACCGCCCTGGTGATTGGAAAGGCCCCAACAGAGACTTCATATCCTTAGAGTCCTGCGAAAAAATCAGGAGGAACAACGACTAATGACCTCTTTCTATTGGTCCACAATAGAAAGTGTCCTCACATAGTACATTACAGTATGGAATGCTGGTTTAACTGCTGCAGACAGGAAAGCACTACAGAGAGTGATCAATTCGGCACAAGAAACCATTGGTTGCCCTCTAACACCACTGGATGACATCGCCAGGTCTCACTGCTTTACAGAGTGAGAAAGATACTCAGAGATGATTCCTACCCTGGTCAGTGTCTCTTCGCACTTCTACCATCAGGCTGAAGACATCAAAGCATAGCCAGCCGAACAAATAGATTTAAAAATAGTTTCTTGGGCTGTCAGACTCTTGAACACAACCACAATCACTCCACGCACATGTGGAAACATATGACTAGTTTTTCTTTTTCTTTCTTTTTCTTCCTCCCCCCACTAATTACTTGCATAGGAATTATTCTTTATACTATTCTCTATACTATGTTGTTCGTATTTGTTGTCATGGATTGCACCAGTGAGGCTAAAACCAGTTTCATTGTATACATGATGTATAATGACAATAAAGACTATACTAATATATAAAAGCAGATACCAAGAGAAGAAGAAAAGACAATGCTTTGAATATATGAATATAATTTTTTGAAGATTGCATAGTACCCATTTTGTTCATTGAGCATTTAAGTAATTGGAACCAAATAGCAGAATCTAACATTTCTAAACATTATGTATATATCTTCAAATACATTCCACAGATTTGATTGCTGATGTTTATGAAAATGGTCTGAACAATTCTGTAGATAAGGTAAGAAGTGCTGAAATAAGAAGCAGAATTTATAAATAAATTCTAGTAATTTAGTGCTCGTTTTTAATTTTAAAAATGTACAATAGGTTGAATTTCTTAAGAAGCTTGAGACACTTCATCTTGTAAAGATATGTGTGCTGTATTCTACATAATTAGAATTGGAGCCTCTCATTCCATACTGTTCTGTTCGGGGGTAAATGATGCTGTTGACAGTTATCAAATATTTCATATTCCCATCTGCTATCATTCTGTATGGTTTGTATTTTTAATGTTTTGTTGTTTGCAGTAAAAAAAATGGAGGAAAGAAAATGAAAATGTATTTCATATACTTAATGCCTGAGATTCTCACATATGGATTACACATTGGTACAAACATCTATAATCTTTGTTTCATCTCATCATATTTGCTGGTTTTCACAAAATAGGTTTTTTTTTTCAACAAGGAGTTACAAATTTGCAGATGACCACTTAAAGTACTCTAAATGACTTTCCCCCCAATCATCTCCACTTTCTTTTGTAAACTAATAAGCTTTTCATGCTGCTTTGAAGATTGAAAAAGCAATGCTCTAAAATTTCTAATGTTTTCCTCTGTTGCCATTTTTACAACTGAACTTCCTCTTTAAGTGCTACGATTTGTTTCATTGATAGTAAAAGAGGAAAGGAAATAGGTCAAGCATTTTCTCCTTTCATACATATAGATCTAATATTACTCTTACAATTACTTTCTGAATTAAGAGGTCTGAGAGGTTGTCCTGAACACACTCCTCTAATTTTATCTCTATAGTAACTGTGTAATGTATGAGATAAAGTGGACTGAATGGTCCAGAATTGGCCAGTGTGTTCTGTAGTCAAGTGTGAACTTGGATTTGGTACAAGTCCATTACTATATGACTAGACTGAAGAAAGGAAAACAGGAAAAAGCACTTTTAGAGCATTTTCTAATTTAAGAATGAAAATTAATAAAACAAAAAGGGCCCCAAAACTCCTATGCTGATCAAAAACGATGAATATTCTTCCTTCATTTCACATATAGTTTAGCACCTTATGCATTATGACAAAATGGTAATATGTGGCTGAATTGCTTCATCATGAAGTAACTGACCTGAAATATAAAGGGTTTTAACTTGAATCAACTTAAAGATTTATAGTGAAGAAAAAAGTGGAAAAACAATTTGTTTCTGGAACTGCACTTTGATATGGCCCAAGAGCTAATCAATAAAGACTCAATGTACAAAAAAAGGGCTGAATTTCAAATTAGGTATTAATTATGCTTGAGAGATAGCTTCAGCTGTAACAAAGATTCTTCCAACCTCTCAGTGCATTAAGTTGGTTATGTGATTTTATTATAACTTGCTTTTTTGTAGGTGTAAAAAGCTGCTATTTTTTTTTAAAAAAATACAATAACCTCTGATTAAAAACAATTTAGTTTCTACATTGAGAATTATAATGAGGGGAAAAAAGATGTAGGTAGTCCTAAAATATATCTAATATAATCATATTACTTTGAAAATGCTATAATGTTAAAAGCAAAATAGATGTCACCTAAATACATATAAATATTATAATTCATTTTTCAAAGCATGGTGTACTGCAAGACTAATATCAGGATAAATAACATCAAATTATTCTTGAGATTAGCCTGTCTCCTAAACTGAATTTAAGAAATTCACCTTCAGAGTTTCTTTCTAGGTCATATAAACTTTGGAATATACAGTGTGTGTTCTTCTATTGAGATAGTTTTTAGAAATTACTTTTAGAATTGTCTGTATATCCCTAATAAAGTCACAATATGGGAAGTGAAGAGAGCACTATTGTACTTTCTAGACAGCATTGGTTGAGTGCTAACATTTTGTTTTTCATCTTCTGTTTTTAATGGCAACTTCATACCCAGAATGAAGATATTGATGTATTAATGAAGAATAGGGCCATTTTACAAAAAATAAGAAGGTGTTGAACATGCAGATTTATTTATTTATCTATCTATTATATTTACTGGCTGCCCATCTCACCACAAATGTTGGATGCATGTGATAGTGTGGAAATGTAGAGATTCCAAGCTGATCAATTTAAAATGAATTAGATTCTAAAGCTAGAAAATAAGCCTCTATTAATTCTTTTTCACCTCCTTCCCAACATTTGTTAAATAAGCTAAATTTTACTTATTTTCTCATAAGGTAATTTCAGCCATCCAAAAGACCCAGCAGCGGTGTTTGAATGACTGGTGTTTTGTTGAGCATTTTCAACCACAACTCCTCTTCCAGGTAACTGTAATTTGTTGCCTCATTTAGTAAACACTCTTGCACAGGACCTGCTTAATGTGCATTTCCACAAAATAACTCTCAGTTTATATTTTCAACATTATACCCACAGTTGAGTTTAATCTGAGAACTATTACTTGTGTAGTTAATGATATTCTAGCATAAGTTATTTATCATTCTAGAATATTTCTGGATTGTGGATCAAAATAAACCATGGTCAACCTGACAGGTCATTTTCTTCAGGAGAGATAAATGAAGTGCAACTTCATTGACCCTGTTTGGTTTCTCAGTAGTTTTTGATAGTATTGACTGTGGTGTTCTCCTAGACAGTTTAATTGCATTAGAATAGGGAGCATAGTATATTTATATTATATGTATGTGTGTGTGGGGTGTGTGTGGAATTGAGGACTTTGCCTGTTTGAACACATTTGAACTTTGTTAGAAGTTCTACATTCTTCATCAAAGATTTGAATGCTGTATTTTCTTTCCTGAGCAGCGATAGCTTAGGTACTATGATAGGTTAGCTACTATGAGTCACATACTGCTAATTTTACATTCTGTTTAAGTGTTGTATGTCAACATTCAATTTTAGGAAATTGTAGTCAGAATGTTGAGTGGACACCTTGCTGTCTGCATATGTTACATTATTGTTAAAACAGCTAGTTGAATCAGTTTCAAGGTTTTGCTCTTAACATACGAATAGGTCATCTTTCGCATTACAGACCAGTCCATTACTAAAATAACCCATCCATATATGTACATCTGTGTTATGCTGAAAATTGCAGATAACCATATTGGGCCTTTTCAATGATGATCCTGAAATTTATAGGTCAACTGCCCTTACAGTTAGGTGAAAAAGTACACCCCAATGATTTTTTTTTACTTTTTCAACATAATTTAAACATACATATATTTAATCTTCATTTCAATAATATTGATACATAAAGGAGATATAATATACACAATATGCACCACTTGCATTATGTTGTGTAATTTAAGTAAGCATAAATGCAAATTTCACATGTGCAAAAGCTGTAAATTTATCAAATATATAAAGTTAGAATCAGGTGTACTAGAGGAGATGCACATGATTAGAACATGTTAGAGAGGATCTGAGAGATAGCTGTCCTACTGAAACTTCAGACGTTTAGTTTCTCTTCATTGCTAAAGTGTGTAATATCACCATGCCTAAATTGAAAGAGCTCTGAGAGGCTTTAAAAAGAAAGATAGATGAAGTTAGTCTAGGAAAAAGATCATCAAACAATTGGACATCAATCATTCTACTGTCTAGAAGATTATCTGTAAGTGGAGACGATTTCAAGCAACTGCCAACTTACCAGGTCAGGTTGTCCCACCAAGTTCAACCCCAGAGCAAAAATAATTTAAAAAGTCTCTAGGAATCCCAGGATTTGATCACATAACCTACAGGTAGCTCTCTCCATTATTGATATAAAAGTTTGTGAGTCTATCATTAGAAAGAAGATGCCCCAAGTAGATCTATGTGAGAGGTATGCCAGGCTAAAATCTTTGCTGCTCAGAAATAACTAAAGGCAAGACTAAAGTCTGTTCATGAACACCTAGGCAAAAACCAGGACTTATGGAACAATGTGCTCTGGACAGACAAGGAAAATATATTTTGCTATAATACCAGAAGATAAGGACAAAACCCAAAGACAGCATTTGACCAGAAAAGCCTGATACCAACCATAAAGCATGATGGTCGTGGTTTGCCTACTTTGCTGAATTAGGGCCTGGACAGCTGCCATCATGAAATCCTCTATGAATTGTTCATTGTACTAGAAGTTCTTGAAGGTAATATGAACCTATCTGTCAGAAGCTTGAAGTTCAACCAAAAGTGGACCTTGCAGTATGACAATGATCTAAACATTCCAGTAAAGGAATAGCTAAAAAAAGAATTTGGGATTTTGGAATGGCTAACTCAATGCCTGGTTCTAAATCAACCAATCAAATGGCCAACTGACAAGCGTGGAAAGCAAACCATTGCCAAAATCTAAAACCCGAGCTACAAGTATTTTCTATTGTTTCAAATTTACATCACCTTTATCTTTATACTGATTGAATAAAGATAAAATATTGATATATTCACATAATGTTAAAGAAGAAAAAGCTTTACATGGGATGTACTTACTTTTTCACATGACTGTATCTCTACTCAAGCCTTTCTTATTTTAAATATTATATGCCTTGCAGCTTTTTTTCTTTTCCTCACTTTTTCAAACTGAATGTTATTTTTATATTCTCTATTTTATACAATCATTTACATTTTGAATATATATGGTAAAACACTTCACAATTTCTATTATTGGTGTCTATCAGTTGTCTATAAATCAGTTGGCACAAATAAATGTAGCTACGGTCTTTTTTTCCCATCACCTCTACAAACAGTCTCTTAATGAGAATGGAATCGTATTAATTCTTCTCTTGTTAACAGGTCCTTCACAATGCAACTCAGAATTATAGATGCATTGATTCCTATTATCATACTCAAGATAACTCTTTGCTGATAGTCCTTCATAATCCCATTAATCAACATCGTCAGTTCGAGGAGTTCTGGAACATTTCACTGCATTCTGATGTTGGGTTCAGGTAAAATAGATTTCAAATACTATCCTATCACATGGAAAGGGAGAAGGAGTGAATTATGACAATGAATAATAATTCACTGATGATGAGTGATTGGTGCTACTTTACTATTGCTGATAAATTATTGAATTGAATTGAATAGCAAAAGTAAATTGCTTCTATGTAACAATAATCATTTCCCAATAGACAACATCCAATGAAATTCAACTATCATATTTTTGAATTTCAAAAAAAGGAGAAATAGGTAACAATATATTTTTAACAACTTCACACTTGTCTCAGACATTTTGAATACTAGCTTTTACATAGGGCTACTAATATAAGGCATGTGTTTATGTAATATTTGTATTCTAAGTCTGTGAATATTAAAACAGGCTTCTACATAATGATAAAAATATGAATATGAGAAGAATTTACTATTGATTCTAACTGTAATTTGGCCTTTTTCAGAAGGTGGATGTTGGGGGGTGGAAGCTAATTTGTGTGGGCCAAGACTTTGTTCATAACTAAAAATGTATGCACCAAATAAAGACAAAATTGCTTTTTATAAAGGACCTATGGATCAATTAATGGACTTACCATATGAAATTTAATGGGGGACTGGGAAGTAGTAATATGTGCACAAAAGGATAGAACCTCTGCAAAAATAATTAAAATAACACAAAGGAAATTATCAAAAGCTTTTTAAAATAGTAATTATCTTAAAGTTTATAATTACAATAGTAAAAATGGGATAGCAATAGCACTTAGACTTATATACCACTTTACGTGCTTTACTGTCCTCTCTAAGCAGTTTACAGAGTCAGCATATTGCCCCCAACAATCTGGGTCCTCACTTTACCGACCTTGGAAGAACTGAAGGCTGAGTAAACCTTGAGCCTGGTGAGATTCAAACTGCCAAATTGCAGGCAGCCTGTAGTCAGCAGAAGTAGCCTGCAGTACTGCAGTCTAACCACTGCACCACCACGGATGGCGGTTATGCATCCATTCTTGCTGTCCTTGACCTCTTGGTTTTAGGCACCATTGACCAAAAGGTATCCTTTTGGGCTGGCTGTAGGGTTTGGGCCTGAGTGGTGCAGAATTATTCTGGTTCAGCACATTTCTCCTAATTCTGCTAATGAATTCTGTAGGTCAGGGTCAAGGAGAGGAGCCTTTTCTACTCAGTGTTCTGATTGATAGCAGTAATACATTTTCCAGGAATTATCTGGAATTGGTGGCTGCCTCCATTGATGAATGGATACTGAGAGAAGAAGCCAAATACCAGGAAGAAAAGATGGCTCAGGAACTGGAGGCACTTAGATTGGCTAAAGAGGCAATGGAAAAACCTGCTGAGGTCAAGTCTCCACCTTCTGGCAAAAAAGGGGCTGCTGGAAAGAAAGCGAAAAGTAAGTGTTTCTATGATATTGTAATGCGCAAAGAATCAGGACCATATGTTAAGTTGAAGTTAAGGAGATTTATTACTCAAACAATAAAGAATCTAGTCAACTAATGTTCAGTGTTAAAAATTGGTGCTAGATAAGTGTCAACAGAATTCAAGAGGGGTTGGACATAGATGTGGGACTGAAATAACTTTAAGCTGATGGCTCGTTTAACCTCGTCCCCACCCACCTCTACCTGTTCTCCTACAGATATAATCTAGTGGTATTCATGAAATACCCACCCTTTATATTTCAGTTTGGAACCAGGCACCCCCACTCAAAACTTTTCATCTGAATGTCCCAGAGAAACCCTCTCTGGACCCAGCCATTTTGAGTAACTATCGTCCAGTCTCCAACCTCCCCTTTGTAGGGAAGGTTGTTGAGAAAGTGGTGGCCTTTCAGTTTCAGTTTCAGTTTC